TTTTTCAGAAGTTTGACAAGTCTCTCTCTCTCTCTCTCTCTCTCCCCTTTTCAATATACGAACTTGGTATAGAAGAGGAACTTTTAAACACTAAACTAAACAAAACACATAAGGCTTGGTCTAAAAGCCATACAATGACCCAATTTAACAGCACAAGCAGAATCAAGTCCAACTTTAGAACAATCTTGAGATGAGAACACCCACACCAACCCATCAGCTGACCAAAAAACCAGAGCTCAACCCCACGCTAGGAGGACAGGAGCATTTTTTATTTTACTGCAAGGATATGAGCGTATACGTCTGCAAGAGTAGAGATTTTGGAACTGCATAACGGTATGAATAAAATTTTGACATCATCACATCCAGCATTCCTTGATGGAATTAATCCACATAACTACCTATTCCTGCAACGCTCCATCGCAGCAGAATATAATATTGCCTGCTAATCTAAACTACAAATGAGCTTTTAGCTGGTGAAATTAAAATCACAATTCCACCACATTAACAGAAATACATAGAAACCTCCATTGAGCATATAAGAGTTATCAACAATATAAACGTGTCATAGCAAAAAACAGATCACTGCATCTGAAATGATTACAATAAAAAAAAAACACATTCTTAAATTATCTAACTATGCCAAGCTAAGCACTAATCTACACAGCTAGCAAAAGCATAATTCCCCACCAGTAAAAAACATTAACGAATTGAAGAAAGGGTTCAGAATCGCATACAGTGGTAATATACATAACGATTACCTATCCCTTCTGTCCTACTTGTTTCATCCCCTCAATTGAAACTAAACTCTCTGTGTAGCTACAAGCTTTATATGAATTCGCCCGAACTTCATCAATGAGAATGTCCTTAACTCCATTAGTTTTGGGATCATACAGGAACAACTTTCCTTCAGTGCCCTCTGCTAAAATCTCTCCATTCTTGCAACATTCAATTAGCGTCACCACCTTTAACGGAATTGGTCCAATCTTCCTACCCGGACCCTCGTTGCAAGTAAACTTCATCCAAACACAATTGCTCCAGTCTTCAGAATACTAAAGTAAAGCAATACCATCCCTCAACTCTACGAATCGTTAACTGACCTGTTCTGGATATTCCGGCACTGGACATAGCCCAAAGACCTCATTCTGTGGGTCGAAAAGTACAAAAACCTCACGAATTCCAGATACTTCCTCCTCATCTCTAATAAAGCCGGTCCAATAGGGACTTCCCTTCAAAATCGCATTGCACCTAGTCCGGCTGACGAAAAACGGAGTTTCAACTTCAATCATTTTCCAGGAATCGTTCTTCGCCGAGTACACTTCAACTTTCACTCGTATTTTCTCTCTTGGCAGTTCCAGATTCATATGCAAAATTACTACGATTTTGTAATCATTGGCAACTGGGTCGAATACGAAGCCAACAGAAACACTATAAACATCATCTAAATTGTAACTTGTGCTCAACAGTTGGATCACCTTGTACTGTGTCGTTGCAGGGTTCAATAGGGTGATCAATCGACCGTTAGGTGGGCAACTGAGACATACTATGCCGTTATACGAACCCACCAAGTCCATCCGGGGGAAGATTTGGGGCAAAGGGTGGTCGAGATTGATGGGTTTGTTGTCAATGGAATTGACATACAAGAGAGACATGATATGGTGTTGACTTAGAGAGAGACTGTAGATGATTACAGCGTCGTTATTTGGGTTCATGGCGGTGCGATTGAGGTGGAGAGAGATGAAGTTAGGGTTCTTAATCAGGGCGAGCCACGGCTTGGATACGGACTTGAGGTGGACGAGAGATTTGACTGGGAGTCTTGAGAGGATTTCGAAGATGAGGTCTTGCGGAAGATCGCAAGCGGACATTGTTGCAGAGGTGGATGCTTTGGTTTCCGATGGATTTCCATTTCCTTTTCCTTTTCCTTCGATGGAAAGGAGTGTTTAGAGGAATTTTAGGATTTTATATACAATACCTCTCCGTCTTAATGACTTAAATACCCTTCCAATTTTACTTATTCACATATCTGCCATTCAACATTGTGGGTCCACGACTCAACCTTTGCCAGTTGTCATCAAACAATCCAATTTCCAGTCATAAGATTATCATGACTTTAATGGTATTTTGCATATTATTTAGAATTTCATTTAGAAAGTATTTGTTGATTAATGTATTTGATTAATGGTATTTTGCATATCTGCCATTCAAGTATTTGTACGATTTGATTATTAAAATGATTAAGTCAATTAAACTTAACCCTATTAAGACTATATTCATTGAGAATAACTTGAACAAGAAATACACGTAAAAGAATACATTTTCAAACTCCCTCTCATGCAACTTTGGTATGATGACAATAATGCAAATAAGAATGAAATCGATTCAAATTGGGAAAAATTGTAACTCCAACATGAAACAAAGTACAACTTAAACACAGTTTATGCTAAAAAGAATCTTCAAGTAGTGCTAGGCTGGGAATGCCCACAAAAATGAGCCTGATTTGAAAATGTCAACTGCGTATACACACAAAAACAATGAAGCTAAAATTACACGCATCAAATCTAATGGATCACCTCTCACATTGTAGCTAGCAAACTCCGTTGTTTGCCCACAAATTTGTTGCATTCATTCAGGTGTATTTACTAGATGAACTACAAGTCCACAATTTGGAGCCAGACATCCAAAAATTATTAAGGCAAAATTATTTTTTCTCTTTTTCTTGGGTAAGTGTAAGCTTTATTTTTCACTTATTAGCAAAGCTAGAAAACTAACCCTTGAGCGAGGAAAGCAATGTAGTTTCATTTTACATTGCAATAGTGCCAAGAGAAAAATAAGAACTTAAAAGACAGTGCCAAGAGCTTTCAAAATCTTTTGCATGAGAATGAAATCCAAAAGAATCGCAAAGGAAAAAAAAACCGGACACAAAATAGCTGGGAGCAGCCTCCTCAAACAAAATCAACAGACAACAAAGCAAAATATCAAAACAGAAAATCATAGCTAATCACTGTGTCCACAGGAGAGCTCTCACCTGCCAATACGGAAAGCCTCGAGGTTGTTGATGATCTTATACAGCTTAGTTGTTTGCATTGGTGGGACTATTCTCACCCCCCTACACATCGATTTCCACCCCCATTAAACTCCATAGCATGGAACTACTATTCAGACCTCGCTGTATGACCATTAGTGACTAATCCTATCCCAATGTGCACCCACCCCATCAAAATGTTAAATATATTATTCCCACCCTCCAATACATTGACATGCACAATGCACCATAGCTCTGAAAAAGAAGCTAAGAAAAAGATATTGATTGATATACATCTGACTCCTATTCTTGCTTGTTTTGCATCTGAAGCCTATACAACCTCACCTATAAAGTTTTTTATCAAATTCAATATTTTACACTCTCAATATTATTCTGGAAATTTTTGAATATATGCTTGGCTGCTGAGAAAATGAAGGGAAAGAAAATAAATAAAATTGGAGCAACCAAGTGGTGAAAATTCCTGTCGGACTGGGCTACTCTTATATTCAGGACCCACAACGTCACTGCAAATTAGGCCACATTTTTTTGGAGATGAAACAGTTGACAGAAGAGCATACACATTCCTGTAATCATATCGAGGAAGCAAGTGTGAATAAATCAATTGTGCTGCTGCAAAAAAGAAAAAACCCTCCCTCTCTCTCTCTCTCTCTCTCTCTGTGATAGGAATCGGATTATATTTCATTATAGTAAGCGCAAATATAGGTATTAGGAGTTATTTGTCATTTTGTTTTTCAGGGGCTTCGTTGTCATTTTGACTATTTATTTATTTTAGGGTTTGTGATCTCCTTATATATATACGGGACAGTGTTTTGAAAAGCTCACTTAGGCGAGAAGTGAGGCGAAGCGAAGCGAAGGTATCTCGCCTTGAACACCCCATGCGAAACGAACGTGACTGAAGCGAAAAAAAGCGAGAAAAGCAAGAATTTTTCTCTTAAGCGAAAGGCGAAAAAGTGAACGCTTTAGTCATGCTAGGCGAAGTAGTTTTTTATTTTTATTGTAAACCATTGGATTGTTTTATTTTTTACTGTGGACATTTGGATTGGGGCAATTGAAAAAAAAATTATAAGATGTCAATACACCCAATTACCCCTTATCCCATAAATATAAAACTCAAACCCTAATTTTAAACATCAGACCATCGTTGCTGCTCTTTCCTCTCACGATTGATGTTGCTCCTTCCTCTCACGATCGGTGTTGATGCTCCTTCCTCTCTGGTCAGGCGATCGCTGCTGCTGTGTTGTTCATTGCTCATTGGTCAAAGACGAAGACTGTTGCTGCTTCTCCTTCCTCGCTGGTCCAGGTTTGTCTCATTTTTTTCTTCTATCTTCTGTATCTCTTATTCTCATTTGATTCTGCTTATTTTTCTGCTTCTTCTTTTTTTTTTTTTTTCTGCTTCTTATTCTTTCTACTGTTTCTTTTTTTTTTCTGCTTCTTCTTTCTGGTTCTTTTTTTTTTTTTGTTTTGCTTCTTCTTCTTCTTCTTTTTTTTTCTGGTTCTTCTTTCTGTTTTTTTTTTTTTGGTTCTTCTTCTTTTACGTTCTTCTTGTTTTTTTTTTTTGCTTCCTCTTCTTCTTCTGATTTTTCTAATGATTTTGATTCTGATTTTTAACCAATGATTCTGATTTTAATGCTATTGATTTTTGAATAGCTACTGATTTTTGATTTTAATGCTACTGATTCTGAATAGCTGATTTTGCTGATAGTGCTATAATGCTGAATGCTAAATTTAATGTTGCTGATTTTTTTCTAGTGCTTATTTTTTGCTCTAATGCTATAATGCTTATAGTGTTGTAATGTTATAATGCTGCTGATTCTGAATAGCTGATAGTGCTGTAATAGCTGATTTTTGATTTTAATGCTGCTGATTGTGGGATATTATTAGTGTTTGTTTGAATTTAAATGTTTAAGCTAGACTGTTATTAAAATTTGAGATATTATTAGTGTTTTTTTTAATTTAAATGTTTATGGTTTATTTTGCATTTAAAAAGAAGCTAAGAAAAAGATATTGATTGATATACACTTGACTCCAATTCTTGCTTGTTTTGCATCTGAAGCCTATACAACCCCCCCCTGTAAAGTTTTTTTATCAAATTCAATATTTTACACTCTCAATATTATTCTGGAATTTTTTGAATGTATGCTTGGTTGCTAAGAAAATGAAGGAAAAGAAAATAAATAAAATTGGAGCAACCAAGTGGTGAAAATTCCTGACGGACTGGGCTACTCTTATATTCAGGACCCACAACCTCACTGTAGATTGGGCCACATATTTTTGGAGATGAAACAGTTAACAGAAGAGCATACACATTCCTGTAATCATATCGAGGAAACAAGTGTGAATAAATCAATTGTGCTGCTGCAAAAAAAGAAAAAACCCTCCCTATTTCTCTGTGATAGGAATCGAATTATATTTTATTATAATAAGTGCAGAAATAGGAATTATGAATTATTTGTCATTTTACTTTTCAGGGACTTAGTTGTGATTTTGACTATTTATTTATTTTAGCTATATACAGGGGATACAATATTTATATTTTGGCAGACTTTGATTATTATTGAATATTGACATTCCTTCCTTATCAAATTCTTTCTTTTTTTTCATCTCTTCTTCTCTTTTCATCTCTAATCATTTCACTTCCTAGTCTACATTAATTTGGTTTCAAAGTCCAACTTCGATTTACTGTTTATCATGCACACTATTCATCGCACACTATTCGTCGCCATAAACAGTGAAAAAAATAAAATCTAGACATTACAGGTCTGTGCAGTAGGGAAAAAAAAAAGAGAAGAATTAAATTCGTAATCATCCTCCATAGCACTCATTGTGTTCGACTTCATCGCTGCCATTTGCTCCTTTGTCATCGATCCATCATCGTTTGGGTGCCATCGTCGTCGCCGTTGTCCTTCTCTTCTTGTTGCTGTCGCTGAACTTGACACTAGGGTTATGCCTACAGGCACGATAAAGAAGGAGAAGACAACCTGATTTATCTCACAATTTTATTAGATTTACCCTAGAAGTTTCAGAAATTACAAAAACACCTCAAAAAGTTTTAGAATTTATAAGATCATCCTCTAAATTGTCAAGTATCCTCTTGGAGTTGTTTCTAACACTAGGTACGAGTTCTCTTCGTTGAGAATTGGTGATAGTATTTATATTTGTTGGTAAGTCAAAAAACAAAAAAAATAAAAATTCTTACCCAAACTTTCTTTGTTTGTTTGCCCTATACACTACCTTCATAACTTTGCTTGCCTAATTCCTTGTTAAACCAATTGTTGCTTGTCTCACGTTTATTTGAGTCTCTTCACAATAAGCTTGTTCTTGTTTGTGACTATTTGCATTGATTTATAGTTTTTATTACTTGGTTTAATTTTTAGTGTAGTCGGCATTTTACATTAGCCCAAATTTTACATCACATTCACTATGAGCCTTCGTGAGCTTTCAGAATCTCATACTGCACTAGAACAAAAATTTGAGACCTTCACCATTGATATGACCGACACTAAACAATCAGTCAACTTGTTACGTGAGGAAGTTAAAGGAATTGGATAACAACTTTCTCAATTTACTACTCAACTAGCCCAATTGACTAAGTTTATAAAAAAACGACCGATAAAGTATGACTAGGGTGAGTCACCAATTTCACCCAAGTTCAGACAGGCACACCATGTTAGGCACCTGCCTCTCTCGATAGATCCTACTGACTCATGTCAAAGTGTCCTACCCACTCAGTACGTAGCGCAAGCGAGCAGAGTTTAGTATCCAAATAGGAGGCCACCTCCTAATATCATTTTCGAACGAAACGTAGGTCGTAGGAATTTTCAA